TTTTTTTTTTTTTTTTTTGGAAGAATGATATTAATAATAATAATATCTTTATAGCACATTTTGATGCTGCTTGAATAATCACTATTTATAAAGTCTACATTTTTAAGATTTTAATATATTTTTTACTTTCTCTCTCTCTTTCTCTCTATTCATTAAATTTTTATTTAATCATAAAACTACTTGGAACTTACATTATTATTTTATATTTTTAATCTCTTAATTCCATACTTATATGTGCATCTAGGCAAAACGCATTTTTTTATCATCAGGTTTCCAATCCTCTTTGCTTGCTTTTACACATATACATACTCGTCGGCTGATCATAACTGTGGAGGTTTATCCGTGCAAATGTGGCAGCACGAAACGTTCATACATTTCGGTTACATTACCGTAGACATCATCGGATGTGTTGACGGGAAATACGAGCATAACTCAGCCGATGCTACCTGCCAGAATTTCGCGAAAATCCCCCTTCGCTCTCCTCTCTCTCTCTCTCTCTCTCTCTATCTATCTATCTAACTCTCTACCGTCTCGTACAGCTCCAGGACTATCGTCTCATCCTCTCGCTACGCACCTCTCTCTCTTCCTCTCTAACGTTACGCTGAGTGATGACGTCATTTCCTACCGAGCATTATACATCTCGCAACATATTTCCGGCGGCCGATTAAGATTCGCTCGACATTCGGCGGCAGAATGAGATTTTCCGAGAATCCGACGAGCGCATTGCGAGCGAACAGTAAAATTGTTAAACTTGGGAGCTTAAGGATGTGAGCAAGTGATATACTATCAATGTCTTGGGAGACGAAATAAGAATCACAAAAATTATATCGTCATCTACAGATCAAATAATCTAATTCTTACAGAGATATTGTTATGATTATTTATTAATTACGTTACGATTAAAGCACAATTTTTCTGAGGCAAATGCACCTGAACAAATTATATCTAACAATAAGTAATAAATATGTTAAAGTTTTTTCGTAAAAATTCAGATAAACGCATATAGTAATACACAGTTCTCACAAATTCAACAGATAAATTTTCGCGGGCTAAAACTCTGCACAAATGAAACGGATAAATTTCGACAAGGCGATATATCTGAGCAAAATAAACGAGTGTACGTCTTGATTCGTGAGACTAAACATTTTTCGCGTATCGAAAGCACAATGTGGGCAACAAGTTCGGTCTATAGATCGTTTAACTTTTGCCGCTGGATTCTCCCCTTTTCTCTTTTTCTTTCTCTCTCCCTCTTTCTTCCTCTTGGCCGCCATAGGAAACTTATCAGCGTGTAATTAACGGCGAAGCAAAGTCGTGTCGTTGCCGAGCAAAAAGCTACTCGCGCGGATACAATCTCGTAAATTTCCGGGCTGGCGCGACACTGCCCCCCTGTCCATTGGCAAGCAAGAAAACCCGTTGTTCGGTGTTTTGCACACGGTGCGCGACGCGACGTGTTCGCCGGAATCAATTGTTGTTTCGGGGTTTGTTTGCGGCCGAACTACGCCGCGGCCACGCAATGAGACAAGCCGGAAATATTACCGTTGCACCGCGAGAAATTATGCGATCAACGTGGCTGTAACGCAGCGTCGAGCACAGTTCAGCCCGGATGGCAGCGAGTTTTACTCGATAACCCGCTAGCGATTGATATCGATCACTTCGAATGTAGCGGCCGCGATCACTACGCGCATAATATTTTGTTATTAATTTTCTTACATCTCGGTTTTTTTTAATTATTTTTTCATATCTATATTTAATTTAAATATTATAATAATATAAGAAAAATAATAATTTAACGTATGTTTGAAATATGACTTGATCTAATATATAAAAATGTCTGACTGAGATACTTTCTTATCAACGGATAAATTTCGACAAGGCGATATATCTGAGCAAAATAAACGAGTGTACGTCTTGATTCGTGAGACTAAACATTTTTCGCGTATCGAAAGCACAATGTGGGCAACAAGTTCGGTCTATAGATCGTTTAACTTTTGCCGCTGGATTCTCCCCTTTTCTCTTTTTCTTTCTCTCTCCCTCTTTCTTCCTCTTGGCCGCCATAGGAAACTTATCAGCGTGTAATTAACGGCGAAGCAAAGTCGTGTCGTTGCCGAGCAAAAAGCTACTCGCGCGGATACAATCTCGTAAATTTCCGGGCTGGCGCGACACTGCCCCCCTGTCCATTGGCAAGCAAGAAAACCCGTTGTTCGGTGTTTTGCACACGGTGCGCGACGCGACGTGTTCGCCGGAATCAATTGTTGTTTCGGGGTTTGTTTGCGGCCGAACTACGCCGCGGCCACGCAATGAGACAAGCCGGAAATATTACCGTTGCACCGCGAGAAATTATGCGATCAACGTGGCTGTAACGCAGCGTCGAGCACAGTTCAGCCCGGATGGCAGCGAGTTTTACTCGATAACCCGCTAGCGATTGATATCGATCACTTCGAATGTAGCGGCCGCGATCACTACGCGCGATTACTAACTTAATTTGCGCTGTGAAAATGTTGAAAGTCCGTTTGCGCATTAACGGTAAATTAATGATGTACAATCTATGTTACATCCGATCAAGAATGTATGTACTACATTCTCTCATACATTACGCAAGAAAGCAAGTTGATTAATTTTATATTCATTTAATAGAGAAGTTATTGCTGTTATATGATTTAATATATGTTATATTAAATTATAATAGTTATTATAAATTTAATTTCTTATATAGAAATCCCACGTATCCCATATTCTAAGCCTAAGCAATACAGCCTCTGGACCGTAAGATCCGGATTTTAAAGTAGAATAACTTCTCTCTTTGAGAGGGGAATATATTTTAGAGAAGTTAAAGGTCGTGGGACAGATTCTTCTCCAGAAACCGGTTCAAAGTGGATCCGAAAAATTTCATTTCACACAATCATTGACTCTATTATACCTTTTGCATACGATCTATTGATTTAAATATAAAATAATTAAACATCTATATAAAATTTAAGATGAAAGATAAGAAGATAAATTTGAAAAATGGATTATAATATAAAATATATCTATTTTAGGAGATAAGAAAATCAGCATCGCGTAAAGAGCGCACTAAATTGTTGCACAACGGCCGAATGTACTCGTTAATCGTGTTTTCACCCCTTCACATCATCCTTGCTATCCAGTCAGCGCGACGGTAACGCGCGAGTTTCGGTAGAATCCAATTAATGCCGACATCTCTCCGCGTGTCTTTCACCGTTTTGAATTTTAAGCGAAATAATTTGCCAACTGACACGGCTTGTCAGCCTCTCGAAGTACCTATCATCTATCGTCTTTTTTCGAATAAAATCGCAGATCCAGAACGTGAAGCGGAATGAGTATCAAAAACTTTACAAAATTTTTATAAAATTGTACTCAAAATATATATATCAATATCAGATAGCAAAACTTGTTACTCCTCGTAAAGTTACAAGGAGTTAATATTATAAGAAGTTTTTACTCTATTTGAAATATATTGAACCTACAATGAATGTTTTGAACTGATACAGCTATAAATTTTCATATTCGCATTATTATTCACGCTACGCATGACAGTATATAATATTTGAGTAAAATTAGTTTTCATCGCATTCGAAAAACGTTATCGCAAAAAAATTTCTGAGAAACATCATACATCTAGCGCTAAAAGGTTGCTTCTAAAGTTTGCTATAGATACACAAAGTACATATTCAATGTAAAGTGAAAGCTTACAGATAAAAGGATAGGAATTAAATAGTCATGTTTACGTTGTTAAACGTGCGGTGAGAACGGAAGGCTTGGAGTATATCGTACGAAAAGTGTTCGGTCAGGAATTCAGAAGATAAACTGGAATTTCTGGCTTGCAGATGTAAGCTCGTATTTAGCGCTCCGCGCTCCGTCGAGGAACAACGCGCGATAGTTTAATTCGAACTTCGTACGAAACCATCGTATATGTCACAGCAATAACGCGGAAAACAACGGACCAATCTAAAACGATTGTCTAAAAGTTCGGTTAAACTCGCTATTAAACTTGCCTGGGAACTGTTAATTAATTCGAGACCGCCGCCGTTGCAGCTGCAATCGTTTCAAGGCCGTGCGTCTATCGTTAGACGCGCTTATAAAAGAAAGCGTAGGACGTGTTAAAAAAAAACCGTCTGTGGCCGAGGGTAAGACTGGAGACAGGCTTGAAAAAAAAAAAGGCGCATAAAAAATTATATAAAAAACAATGGCCATTATAGAACGCGAGATAATAATAAAGTAACTAATATTAACTTATATATCATATAAAAATACGTGCACAGACGTGGTACGAATAAAAATATTAACATCGCGAAAATAGAAATATTATATTATTTGGTTTTTCACTTTTCAATCTTCATCATCATAAGATGTAAGTTTCTTTAGTTTTCAGACAAGATGATGAAATCTACGTAATTAAACAAAACAATATTTTTTTCTATTCACGGTTATTCAAAAGCAAACATATAGAGTGCATTAGAATCGGCCAGATTACAACAAATGAAAGAGCTTAAACATTATTTCGTCAAATATAAATTTTTATCTACAAGTAATTTAAGTTGCGATTCGTTCCGCGCAATAACTTCGTACACGATGGAACAGTGAACAATACCGCGATTCCTTACCTAATCCTGGAACAATCCC